GGGCTGAGAGGAATTTGGGAGGAATTTGGGTGTTTTGGGGAGATTTGGGAGTGTTTAGGGAGGATTTGGGGGTGTTTGTGGGTTTTGGGGGGGGATGAGAGGAATTTGGGAGGAATTGGGGGGTTTGGGAGGTGTTTAGGAGAGTTTTGGGGGAGCTGGGAGGGGATTTGGGGGGTTTGGGGAGGAACTGGGAATTCCCGGGAGGGTTTGGGGGGATTTGGGATTTTCAGGGGGAATTTTGGGGGGCCAGGATGGGATTTTGGGGCATATGAAAAATTTGGAGAGCATCTGGGAGGAGATTTTAGGGCACAGGGAATATTTTAGGAGATTGTGAGGAGCACGAAAAAGAATTTGGGGTAGAATTTTTAGATGCAAGAAAAGGTTTTTAGTAGTATTGAGAAAAATTTGGAATCGCTGGGATGCAGAGAAGAGATCCAGGAGGATTTTTGGGGGTTCAGGCCGTTTTGGGAACCCCAAAATATCCCTTTTTTTCCCCAAAAAAGGAAGGTGAAGACGCTGGGGGAGGAGGAACCCTGGCTGGACGATGCGGCCGCGTGGATCGAGCGCAGCCGGGCGCTCCAGAGGGAGAAGGAGCTGGCAGAAAAAAGGGTGGGAAGGGACCCCAAAATCCCAGGAAAACCCCCAAATCCCAGAAAAAAACCCAAATCCCCCTGATTTCAGTCCAAAAACTGTGTGTTTACCTCATTTTTTAGCTGTTTTACGGCAGAAATTTGGATTTTTATGGGATTTTTGGTGGGGTTTGCTCACCCGAAATCCTGATTTTGCTCTGGATTTCAAGAATCGTGGAGCTGCCAGAAAATTCAGGCTAAGTTTCAAAGTTTTTAGTCAAAAATTCCCTAAAAACTAAAGATTTTGCAGGTTAAATGTTTTTTTTTATAACGTGCTTTGGGGCTAAAATGTGGAATTGGGAGGCTAAAATTGAGATTCCATCTGAATTTGTAGGAATATTCAAGGTGATTTTTAGGAATATTCTCTCAAAACTCCGCTAAAGATGATGCTTTTAGGCCTTACATTTTTGCTTTTTGCAGTAAATCTTTCCAAGTGTGGTGCTAAAATCACGGATTTTAACCCCAAAATTCTGCTTCCATCTCAATTTTTTGGGATTTTGGTACCACTCGAAGATCAAATCCAAGTTTTAGGAGCATCCCCAAAAACCCTCAACAATTTGAGAGCATCGTTGCCGTTTTTTGAGCCAAAAATGGGAATTTTGAGCTCGTTTTTGCCCTAATGAGAAGCTCCCAGGTTCCCGTTCTCCCGGGAGCGGGCTGGGGGTGTCCCCCGGTGTCCCCCGGTGTCCCCCAGTGTCCCCCAGTGTCCCCCAGTGTCCCCCAGTGTCCCCAAACTGGTGTGACTGGTGGGGTTTGCAGGCCAAGCTGCTGGAGGAGATGGACCAGGAGTTCGGGGTCAGCCCCTTGGTGGAGGAGGAGTTCCAGCGGCGCCGGAGGGTGAGGGACATTGGGGACCTTGGGGACAGTTTGGGGACAGTTTGGGGACAGTTTGGGGACAGGCTGTGACCCCCCCGTGCCCCCCCAGGAGCGGTACAGTGCCCGGGACCTGCAGGGGCTGACGGTGGAGCACGACCCGGCCTCGATCCCCGAGGGACA